GATATAACCTATAGTATTTTTTTTTATTCTGCAAGATATAGGCTATACGTAGGTGCAGTCTACAATATTGAAGAGCACAAACGTGAAAAGGGATAAAATTGTCAAATTCTACCTTTATCACTACACCAAAACTAATTTAACGTTATTTTTGTACACTTACCTAATTTTTCTACAATCTATGTATTACTAGCTAAATGACTCTTCAAAATTTTAATTGGTTACAATTTTTATTTTTATTTATTGAATAATTAGTAAATTAGCAATAAATAATAAAATGTTCTGTACATAGCGTCGGTTCTACAAGTGACTTGAATATTTAAAAATTGACGGCAATTTTTCGACGTTAACTATGACGTCGGTTTCTAAACCAACACAGAAAATTTTAACGTCACCGCTTATTACGACGGTTGGAAAAGTGACGCTAATATATTAGTGCATCCGTATCCATGAACTTTTGAGGGTATCATTAAATATAAAATTATTAAAAACACACTCTCTCTTCCTTTTACTTAACTTTATACCTTCTCTTTCATCCTTTTACTCAACTTTTATTAATTTTATACTCTCTTTAAATATAAAATTATTAAAAACACACTTTTTCTCTCTTCAAAAGTATCAACTATTTGATACTTTTGATACTCTCTCTCCAAAAATACCCACTATCTCTTCTCTTTACTCAAATTTTATTAATTTTATATTTCAATACACCCATATTATTTCAACCAAAAACACTCTCTTTCTTCCTTTTACTCAAATTTTAATAATTTTATATTTAATGATAGCTACCAAAATTCACCGATAGGATGCTCTTAGAGTCAATTATTAGCCGACGTTAAACTGCATAAAAAGGGACGTTAAATCCCTTGTTTCTTGTAGTGGTGAGATCAACTGTAAATAAATAATATGAGATCAAGTGTAAATAAATTAATGAAGAGATGAAGTTACATCTAGTATTAAATTTATGAGAAATTTTTAAAAATGCCACACTTTTGTAATTTTTACAAAAATGCCACTTTTTCAAAATTATTTTTTCTTTATATTATTTATGTTTGAGTTAATTATGTTCTATTAGGGTTCAGTTATGAAGGTTTAGGGGGTTTTAGGGGTCAAAACAATTTTTAGGGTTTAGAATTTTAAGA